TTCTTTTAAAGGCAAGAGAAGCATCAATCAATCTTCAAACAACCAATATTTTGAAGATTTGGACAAAAAATCATCAATTTTTGAGGAAAAAAAATATATTTTTGACTTATTTCACCCCAAATTTTCGTCGAAAATTCATTTTCAGAAGCACATCTGTCCAGATATTGCATTGGAATGTGTTCTAGGGTCCTTAAGCTATCTTTCTAGCAAGTTTGAAGCAATTGGATTTTTTGGCCAAAATTGAAAAAAACACAAGGGGTAAGCCTTACTTTTTTATCAAAATTTGGCAAAAAATTTACTTTTCTCCAAACAATGCAGACATTCTTTTAAAGGTAAGAGGAGCATCAATCAATATTCAAACAACCATTTTTTTAAAGATTTGGGCAAAAATCATCAATTTTTGAGGAAAAAAAATATATTTTTGACTTATTTCACCCCAAATTTTCGTCGAAATTTCATTTTGAAAAGCACATCTGTCCAGATAGCGAATTGGAATGTATTCTAGGGTCATTTAGGTATCTTTCTAGCAAGTTTGAAGCAATTTGATTTTTTGGCCAAAATTGAAAAAAAACACAAGGGGTAAGCCTTACCTTTTTATCAAAATTTGGCCAAAAATTGACTTTTCTCCAAACAATGCAGACATTCTTTTAAAGGCAAGAGAAGCATCAATCAATCTTCAAACAACCAATATTTTGAAGATTTGGACAAAAATCATCAATTTTTGAAAAAAAATATATTTTTGACTTATTTCACCCCAAATTTTCGTCGAAAATTCATTTTCAGAAGCACATCTGTCCAGATATTCTAGGGTCCTTAAGCTATCTTTCTAGCAAGTTTGAAGCAATTTGATTTTTTGGCCAAAATTGAAAAAAAAAACAAGGGGTAAGCCTTACTTTTTTATCAAAATTTGGCCAAAAATTGACTTTTCTCCAAACAATGCAGACATTCTTTTAAAGGCAAGAGGAGCATCAATCAATCTTCAAACAACCAACATTTTGAAGATTTGGGCAAAAATCATCAATTTTTGAGAAAAAAAAAATATATTTTTGACTTATTTCACCCCAAATTTTCGTCGAAAATTTCATTTTGAAAAGGACATCTGTGCAGATATTGCATTGGAATGTGTTCTAGGGTCCTTTAGCTATCTTTCTAGCAAGTTTGAAGCAATTTGATTTTTTGGCCAAAATTGAAAAAAACACAAGGGGTAAGCCTTACTTTTTTATCAAAATTTGGCCAAAAATTGACTTTTCTCCAAACAATGCAGACATTCTTTAAAGGTAAGAGGAGCATCAATCAATCTTCAAACAACCAATATTTTGAAGATTTGGGCAAAAATCTTCAATTTTTGAGAAAAAAAAATATTTTTGACTGATCTCACCCCAAATTTTCGTCGAAATTTCATTTTCAGAAACACATCTGTCCAGATATTGCATTGGAATGTGTTCTAGGGGTCCTTTAGCTATCTTTCTAGCGAGTTTGAAGCAATTTGATTTTTTGGCCAAAATTGAAAAAAACACAAGGGGTAAGCCTTACTTTTTTATCAAAATTTGGCCAAAAATTGACTTTTCTCCAAACAATGCAGACATTCTTTTAAAGGTAAGAGGAGCATCAATCGATCTTCAAACAACCAATATTTTGAAGATTTAGGCAAAAATCATCAATTTTTAAGAAAAAAAAATATTTTTGACTGATCTCACCCCAAATTTTCGTCGAAATTTCATTTTGAAAAGCACATCTGTCCAGATATCGAATTGGAATGTGTTCTATGGTCCTTTAGGTATCTTTCTAGCAAGTTTGAAGCAATTTAATTTTTTTGACAAAATTAAAAAAAAAACAAGGGATAAGCCTTACTTTTTTATCAAAATTTGGCCAAAAATTGATTTTTCTCCAAACAATGCAGACATTCTTTTAAAGGCAAGAGGAGCATCAATCAATCTTCAAACAAGTCTATGACTTGAATAATAAGTCATCATTATGACTTATTTTTTATTTTTTAGGTTGTATTAATAGCCCTTTAACGCTTCCGTAGCTCCCCCCCCCCCCATAATAAAACCTGATTTTTTCCCCATGTTTGATTCAGAGGATCAAAATGAGTGCATTCGCGCACCCTCGCTCGCACAGAAGAGGAGGAAATTGTGGTCCGCGCGCACTACTAAAAAAAAATCTTTTGACCAATCAGAAGCTCTTTTTACGGAAGCATTGAAGGGACATAAATATGACTTATTATTAAGTCATAATAATGAGTTATATCTCATAATTATGACTTATTATTAAGTCATAATTATGACCTATTATTACGTTATAATTATGACTTATTATTCAGTCATAATTATGACTTATATCTTATAATTACGACTTAGTATTAAGTCGTAATTACGACTTAGGGTATCTCATAATTATGACTTAATACTAAGTCATTATTATAACATATAATTATGACTTAGTTCTTTTTTTTAAAATTTGTATTATGTCCCCTTAACGCTTCCGTATCTTTTAAACATGGCAGTTTACCGCGGAAAATTTTGTTTACTACTCCCACACCTGCTTCTACTTTCAACCAATCACAGAAAAAGTGACACATTTCATTGACCTATCAGCGACGTGCTTCTAAATAAGTGGGCACGTACGTTCGACCACTTTCGTTTTACGCCATCTTTATTTTTGCCGAGCAGTTTCCACCACCATGTGAGTATGTTTAACGTGCAACAAAAACAGGTAAGATTTTGTATGAATTGCAATTGATAAAGAAGGCGTTTCTAGCTTCTAACTCAACTTCGGTTGGTGGCACCTGCACACAATTCAACGGTAATTTGCTAAAAAAAATTAAACCATCACCTTGTCCTAATTTCACTGACAGTGATACACAAACGAGCCCCCCAAAAACCCAAAACACCAAATTGTTGCGAAGCCAACCACTTTTTGTGTGACCCCAACCTAGATTACAAGATGAACTGGGTTGCTTCCTGTTGCGTGCATTGGTTCCCATGTTCACCGACATTTTTTTTTAAACACCCACAGCCCACTGGGAGTTTTTTTTCAAAACAACCAGTTAAAAATACATGTATTACTCTCTTGAGAACCACTGGGAATGTTTTCGTTACGTATGAAGCCTACAGTTCAACTCATTTTTATTTGGAGTCTGTTGCATCTATAACTTGACATGAAACATTTCTTTAGAAAAAAAATACTAAAAGGTTTGCAATGATTATTGAAATTTTAGCACAATTACTATTTTCTTCATAATGACAGACAAGGCATTCTAATCAAATTGCAAAGACATTCTGTGACATTGGTATCTTCATGGGAAACAGGTAAGTTTTATTAGCGTTTTTTTTGGTACAAGAACATTTTGGCTGAAATTGTAATCTATACATCATGCGCATAGAGAGCTTGCACACAGCGCCCTCATGGTGGACAGGCCTTTGTTTCTCTGCGATACGCATGAGTAGACATTTTGTGGTTTCATCTTCTTCTTTTTTGGAAGGGACAGGCAATTCAAATCCTGGAAGTTGTCTGAAGGACTTTAAATATTTATGGTGTAAACTGCAACTTTCGTGAGCATCATCTGTGCACACAAATAAAATCTGTTTTGAATTTTTCAATGTAGCCTGGTTTTCATTTTGAAAATTGCCCACAAATGGCATTCAATTTTCTTTTTTCATCATCTAAAAGTGACTAAGTAATTTGTAAAGTTGGTTACGGGTACCTGATCCCATAGTCTGGTTCCTGGCATCAGCAGTCAGGTACCCGGTTCCGATGCACACCCCTGCTGAATGGACGAGTCTATACCAATACCATCTTGGAGGTGGTTGGTGCTAGACTGGTCCCCGGCCTCCCTTAAAATATGGGGACCGACCAGTAAATTGGATCACCTTTGCGCGTGCGCAACATCATTGTTTGTTTTAAAAACGGTGTTGGCAGCTTTGTGCGTGGATGACATTTGAACACATGGCTATAAAAAAAACATTCACACTGTAGGCCTACCATCGCCTGTGTCTCGATTATCCACATAGGCAACTTTTAAGTACATGTACATGTATTTCAACTGCATAGACACGATGGGTTTCAAATACTATCTTATTGATAGTTGTCCGAGATAATTTCAATTTCAGCAACATTTGAAACTCATCACCACACAAATTGCACATTAAACCTTGTAGCCATTTGCAATATGCTGCTGTTCTGCGCTCAAATTATCACTGTGATTTTGTATTCAGGTGGCAGGAATCAGACCTTGGCCAGTCCTGCATATAATTTTCATACGTAAGGAGGAAAACCCCCCGACATATTCGAGATTCATTGCTAGCTACCAGTCCCTACATTCAAAGGAGAATGGAGGGACAGGGAACCAGTCTATGTCCGTTCAACAAGGTGTTTGATATAAGAGTTCTGAAAGGGGGTGGTTACGCTCTTCAAGTCAACACATAGAGATGAACCCATAGGCCCGAAACAATGAAACCAAGATTTGCAATGTGATCTGACATTTCTTTTTTTTCTGGAGTAATTATAATTTATCAGCCCCCCCCCATGGGCGTCGCCAGGATTTTTTCTAGAGGGGGGCAAAAAAAAAAATTTGCCCAAAAATGCTTGTATTTCTCAACACATTCTCGATTTATCAGTTCTAGAGGGGGGCAGGGACATTTCCCCCCCCCAACTCATTAAATTTACACCACTTTGTCTTCGCGCCTCTTTTTCTTTTCTTTTTTTTTCTTTTCTTTTCGTCCTTTTTTTTTTTTTTTTTTTTGTGTTGCTTTTCCAGGGGGGGGGCAAGTGCCCCCCCTTGCCCCCCCCTGCGACGCCCATGCCCCCCCCCCCTTTAACTTGCCTTGCAACATGCCTTGGCTGCAGGTAGAGGACTTGACATTAGGTGACATTGAATAACAGCGATAGGCTACATGTAAGTGTTGATGTTTTTAAGTCAATCGCCACAAATTTAAATGTCTTCAAATTATTTCCAAACTGTGACAGAAAACAAATGAAAGACGACACGTGGACAAAGATTTTTTTTCGTTTTAGTACCTCATTACGTTTAATCACATGACCAGAAATACAAAACTTATTAAGCAATGTACTAAATCAAAACTAACCAAAACTGAATAAACAATATAAACAAATGAGGAAAAAAAGGAATTTATCTGGCATGTGATAAATATACGTGTACCATAATGAAAAATAATCAGATATATACTATTAAATGACTGCATGAACATAAGAAAAGTACAAAAATGCAAGAAAATAATAATATAAGCGAACGAAGTTTGGGTGCAGAGCATAGCAGCAGGGAGCTACGTTAACAAACATCCCATATAGAATATAAAAAATTTGTTTTGTCCAAACAAAAATAGAAGACACGCTTAGTTTTGAACATCAAGTTGTTTTTTTTTTAAAGTTTTTTTTTCTCAATTTTTTTTCTTTGACAGTTTGGCACAAGTGCACACAAGGAGTAGACTTGCATTAGTCCACTGAACAGTAGCAAACAGTACTGTGGTTTTATACAAATACTACCGAAGACTACAGTAATCTAGGTTTCATTATTTTGTGCATAAATACACCAAGGTTTTTATACCGACTGTTTATACATTTCTGTTTACACCAAATCAAATTTGACAAGTCCAAGCCTCAGTTTACAACAAAACAGCTACTTGTGATAGTAATACAAATGTGACGTTATCATACAGGCAACCTATTTCAAGGTTTACACACCAATTGTTCAAGTTTGAGGCTTTTCATTGTGAAATTAATTCATGTCCAAATGTTTGAATTGATCTGTACCAACACATTCTTACATGGCAGACAGAACATATCATAAATTCTTCCTTTGAGAGTCGACATCATGGCTTGGCTTGGGTTTGTTTGTTTTTTTCTTCCTCCAAACGCAAAACAACTTCAGATTAATTTTCATCTCGAAAGAAAAAAAATTGCAGTAACCGAATGCGAGTCATTCTAATTTTCTCCAGTTTGTTTTTCTTTCTCTCGTTTTACTTGTGTGTGTAATATAACAAACCGTCTCGGCAGATTTCATTAATTTTTACTACCGTTGAAATTAATCATCAAATGTATAAATACATGCCTTCAATTCCGTGTGATGTGCCGTGCTGCTAATTGGCCAGTTTATTTCTTTTTAAAAGATTTATTTGGCATTTGTGCACGTCATATTTACAGTGTGGTGCAGTTGATTAAAGTTTTCAGATTTATCTGCTTGAATTTAATCCACTGATCATAAATCACTGAGAATTACTACATAGATATTTCATTCTTAGCTTCAATATAATTACTATCCTTCGCCGTTTTTCTCGGCCTTTCCAAGGAGGTTTTCTTAATACTACACAATGGTGCAAGACTTCCGTAGGTCATCCAATTACAAAATTGCAGACAACCCCAGCCAATTATGAGGAAGAACGGTTGCTTAACAAACCATTCCATTTCTGGTGCTTTTTTGGGGGTCAACATTCAGGAAATTACAACCACAAACACTGTGTGTGATTAACATACCGACCATATCCATCTCTAACATAATGGCCATTCTAATCATTTCAAGAACACTTGCACTAGTAGCCATCTTTACAATCACGCAACGAGATCACAATAAACCCAGATATTTAGCATTCAGAGTTTCCCCCTAAACATCCTAGAGACACAGAAGTGCATAACACAAGGGTAGCAGTAATGTTCAAAAGAAAAGAATTCCCCAACCCCTTTTTGAATTAAATTGTTGCAATTAAACTTCAGAGTTTCCTACGACGGATCGCTGCATAAAATAGAGTTGCACCATACAATCTTGGTCATCTGAATTAAGGAAAAAACTCAATGTACATTGTTCAAGAGCAATAATACGCAAAGCTTAGATTCAGCAGATAAATTGGTCGTTGTGTGCTTGAAGCTTGACAGTTATAAAAACATGGCATGCATACAAACAGGCCTCTACAGGTGCTTCTTTAACTAAAAAAGGGTTAAGAAAACACCAAATGCACTACATATTAACCATCATTTTAACATTATGTACACCTGGTTACACATTCAGCTTTTTTTTTTTAAAATTTTTCATTTTGTTTCAAAAGCTCTGGAAAAAAGCTATTTCCATATTTCTTTTTTACTCCTTTGGCCAATGACTGATGCCATGTACAATGAACATATTACAACACTAGACAAAGACATCTTTGCTTTTAAGCAACAATCTAATGGGACCAAACAGCTTCTTTTTTTTTTTGGTTTATTTTAAATTTTCATTTATTTTTTTTCCTTCCTTAAATCAAAGCTTGCAGGGAAAACACTGACTTATTTTGTAAATATATCAACACAGCAGCAATACAAAAAAATAAACACTACATAGAAAAATCTGTGCTGGTTTGTGCTCTGGCAACACCTAATGTGTGAGCCCTACACTTATTCATTCTGTGATAAGAGTTCGTGCACCGTATCTATAGATATTTTGGCAGGCTATAAAAAATTCATTGATGCATTGGTCTGTGTATATCTAATTAGCTTAACTCTATGTCCAATAGTATGCTTTTACATCTTTAAATTACATCTGTAGTACTTCAAACGTTATTAGTCATTTCTACCTTATTAATAAAATTCTTTCAAAAAAATTATCAACGCATCATACAAGCTGTTCATTTTTGTTTTTGTGATTATAGAAATGCAGCAAGCAAAAAAAATATAACCAATAAAACTAAGTGTTTTGGTCGTAAATGAACTGTACGTCAGCCACTTTTTCATTGATCTCACTCACAGTTTTCTTTTTTTGACTCTTCTGAAATACATCACTAATAAATCTTTTTGAGAAAATCAGGATACGTCTGACCATCTCCAATTTTAAAATGGACACCAAATCAAATGAAAGGGACTGCTTTGCAGTCATTAACTGTACAGAATTACAACAATTACAGTGAATATTGATAACTTATTAGCAACCTCAGTTTGGTGTCTCATCACAGTATATCTCTTAACCGGACTAGTCTACATACTTCAGCACAAAAGTCCAATTCTATTTGCCCTGCACCTCTTGAAAAGATATGCACCATTTCATTTAGGCTATTGACATTTCTATTTCATCATACCAGGAGGGTAGAGTTTCACATGCCCATGCAGACTTTTTCACCTTTTTTTTTTTCATTTGGTCAGATTTTTTTTTTTTTAATATTCAAGTGCAACTACAGGAAATTAAACTCCGGCTATCTCCCATGGTTTCTCAAGTTACAATCTGACAGTCGGTCAGAATGTACTTGGACATCGACATTATGTGCCCCACTTTTTACCCCCCTTCTCAATAATTAAAACTTGATACACAGCGGGATCATCCACACAGTTCTGTATCTTACACTGCCCGGTGTTTACAGAAACCACACAAGAGAATGCCTCCCACAGATCAGAAATCAGTATCGTGTGACACCCAGGACAAATTCCAGTTAAATGCCCCATTCAGGTCCCACTTGTTTATCCAACGTGGAGAATCAAACGCCGATTATGGTGATGAACTCTTCCATTTCTATGGCATGCATTATTTCATTTAGTACCATTCTTTCCACTCAATGCAGCCACACCAGTGAACGCACTATTCACTTATTCACTCCCATACAACGGACAAGGAAACAAGAGAAAGCCGTGACCACAAGAGACAGCGACTGCAATTTGCAAAATTTCTCCCTCTGTTAAAAAAAATAATAGCGACGACAAAAAAGCACAGCTGACAAAAAATATATCTCTGCGATCAATGCAGTCCTGATGATCAGTTAAATCTAGACTAAGGTGTTTTATTAAATTAGAGGCATCTATGTGCCATGGTCCACTGAAAGCTGGGAGAGTTATCACACAGGAGGGGATACTACTAAACTCTACTACAAATCGTTATTAATTGTACATATAGGTATCTTATATATATACACACAAAATCTAACCATCTACACGGAGTTGGTGAATAGTTCTTTTAATCGGTGTCAGTGAGTAATATATGAATTCTACACATCAGCAACATGTACTCTACTGCCATACATGTTTCTATCATCCTTTTTTATACAAATTATACAATTCTTTTGATATTCAAATCATCCCATCTGTGTCACCAGAAGCAGATCTGAAGCTTTAATTTCCAAAGAAATTCTCACCTATTACACGTCATTTCAATCATTTCTTCCTTTTCTTTCCAAGCTATAACCTTTGTTTTCTATGTTGTTTGGATTCTCATCAATTACATAAAAATCCCACAAAAGAAAAATAATCAGTTTCGTTGGTTTTGTTTTCTTCCGACTAAGCACTGTTTCACAATGAAAAATGAATGCAAGACGCAGTGCAAAGTATTGACAGGTCATGAAAACCTTTCTGTCCAATCCCTGCAGTAAAAATATTCAAAGATAATCAACAGTAAACCTGTACACGTGAATAATCCGGTTTATTACAAAAATCAAAATGAAATACAGGCACCATCATAGAACTAGAACCAGTTACAATCAACACCATTTATAATTTACCATTTCATGGCTTTTTATGTACATGTACAACTTTCAGAGAGTCAAACTTAGGTGCTATTACAAATTTATTAAACTTTTTCTGATCAGGACAGTGGGCAATGACAAACAGTGCATATATCAGTATTTATCAATCTGAAAGTATTCTTAATTCCTATGAAAAAAAAAAACCACTAGGAAAGGTGGGGGCAGCTAGGTAAAAAAAAAATTCATATTGGTCCATAGAAGAGTTTGTGTTTGGCAGTTCAACTTCATTTATGCCTTTTAACAATTGCAAAGTTTATGTTTGAACGTCATCAAACAGGACAAACTTCGGCTCAAATTAAATTTTATGCATAAAATGAATCCACATTAGTCTCAATTAAATATTTCAAACAAACATGGATCTCTTCTAAATAACATATATAGCTGTCACACATTCAGGTTTTTTACTGAGTAATATGAGCTGATAGGCACACAGTTCAGCAAAGTCTACCTTTCACTCTTATATCACTTTACAAGATAAATCTTTATACAGAATCAACAATTTTCAGTGCTTACTTTGATGGTGATGCCGGTGATGCTTGGTGCTATGACTCTTTCTGCTGCTACTACTGCTGCTGGAGCGTCTCAGAGCAGCGTTCCTCTCATGTCCCCCCGACTGCAGATGCTTGTTGACATCCTCCTCGGTTATCAGCACCTCCCTGGGACAGGCTTGGCACAGGAACCTATTGGATGGAAGCTTCTCCACAGTCTCATCTGTGTTGACAACCTGACCTAGGTAGCAAGCAGTGACCTGGTGAGATGTGACCGAGTCCTGGTCCGTGAAGACCTTCTCGCACTTTTTGCAGAGGTAGCGATTTGTTGAGGACTTTGGCCGGAGGATCAGCTTGTCCTTGTCCCCAGGGAAGGAAGTAGATTCTTGCTGCTCCTTGCTGGTGCTGGACTTTGGTCTTGGTGTTTCTGTGCTCTTGGATGGGACCTGAGCTGCTGCAGCAAGTGGGTTGGCAACATACATATGTGCTGCCATCTGTGGGAGCATCCCTGCAGCTTGCATGGACTGTTCATAAGCAGCAAGCATGGCAGCTTCTTGGCCTCCAGCGTAGAAAGGGTACATCATTTGCATCTGGGAGTAGTAAGGGGGCACACCACCATAGAGGTACGACATTAGAGCTTGATCCGTCCTGGATGTTGGGATGTTCAGTTGTTGAGCTAGCATTGCTGCCGCTGCCTGTTGCTGGGCTAATATGGCTTGCTGAGCTGCCTGTTCTTCGTCTTTGGGTTCTTGTTTGACGCTGGAATCCTTCCTCCCTTCCTGCTTACTGGATCCTGCTGAGGAACCTGGTAGCATACCAGCAGCAGCTGCGACAGCGGCCATTTGTTGAGAGGCCATCTGTGGTGAAATCATCTGTGCTGCATGCATTGCCTGAATGGTCTGGATCTGAGCAGCAGTAACTGGATTAATAGCTGCTGGCATCATTGCATGGGCGGCGGCAGCAGCAGCTGCTGGTAAAAATTGCTGGCCAGATGGTACAGCTTGCTGTTGCTGTTGCTGCTGTTGCTGCGGTTGCTGACCATGCACCTTCTGCTGAAGGGACAAGAACCGAGCACTGTCCTCAGAATCCTTCTCAATCTCCTGACCAACATGCTTTTTGACACTACGGATGTGCACTTCTGTGAATACATGGTCCCTCACGGACATGGCCATGGAATATTTGACCCCACACAACTTGCACATATCAGGCAGTCCATCACTGGCAGGACCAATCATGCCAAACTGTTTGGTAACAACTGTCTTACATTTCTTGTCTTTGGCCCTTGCATTCTGGAACCAGACCTGCACCACTCGCTTGGGCAGTCCCACCTCCTGTCCTAGCAATTCACACTCGTGCATGGTTGGAGTTCGATAGTCAGCGAAGCAGTGTTTAAGAACCTTCAGCTGTAGTTGGTTCATCTGTGTGCGATATCTCTTGTTTGCTTCCCGCATCCTCATTCTCTCTGCCTCATCTAGATTACTAAACGAATCCTCACTTCTATCCATGGAACCTGCCTCAGATAGGGTGTTCTCATAGAAGTCTTCACCGACCATACTGCTGGTAGGGGACAGCATGTCAGACTCTTTGTTGATGGAGTCTTCATCCATTTGTAGTTGAGATGACTCGCTGCCACTCCTGGAAGGTGTTCCCTCCCACTGTTTAGGCAGCTCTTTTCTGTTTCCCTCAGAGTCATGCCCACTATCATTCCTGACTCTTTGCTTGATTTCTGACTCATCAGAATTCCCTGACTCATTGGCATTTTCAGCTCCATCTTGGCTACTACAGTCATCCGAAATGACAATCAATTCTTCTCCTTTTCGACGGATTTTCAGGGAGGAAGACAGATTAACAGCATGTTCACCATCCTGGGAGAGGCTCGGACTTATGGAATAGGGATTGCTGCCAGAGGAGTTTTCAAACGTAGGGCTCAGCATTCCAGTATCCTCGCACTCAGGCATCTGAGCCAAAATGGCTTCCATTTGACTGCTGGTGATTTGTTGCTCAAAATGACGGGTTCTAATGTGAGCCTCCAGTGCCGACTTGGTCTTGAAAAGAGCCCTGCAAAATGGACACTTGCACATCTGATTAAGCCCAGAAAGCCGGAACTGCCCTTTGCGCTCTCTTGCACGAGTGTTTTGAAACCACACTTGAACCACTCGTTTCTTGAGCCCAACCTCCTTTGAGATCATGTCCAGCATTCTGCGAGTAGGATTACTGTCCTCTCGGTACTTAGCATACAATACATCAAGCTGAGCTGGTGATATAGTAGTCCGGAGGCGCTTATCTTTAGGCTGGTCTCCATTGTCACCTGGACTTTCAGAGGTGGAAGGTCCCATCACATCATCACTTGTTTCAGAAAACTTTCTTTTTGTGGGAGACTCGTTTGCCTTCTTGTTGCTCAGGTAATTTAAGTATTGCTCGGGAGTAACACCATTCATGGCTTCAGGATACGAAAGATACATCATGTTGTATGGTAACTGCTGTGGGAGGTAGCTACCAAACAGACCCATATTCATCATGTGCACCTGCTGATGGTCCCGCCATTGATCAAAGTGAGGGAAGACAAGGCTGCATTTCTCACACTGGTAGTGCACTACTGGAGCTTGACTCTCCTGCACAGCGCTTGAAGGTTTAGATTCAGCCTTTGGCTCAGCCTCCATTTTGGGTGCCTTCTCTTCAGACTTGGTGAACACGGTCTCAGAAGTGACACTACTTGTGCTGCTAGCTGTGCTCTTTGCCATGGGTGAGGTACAGGATGGACCACCACTCGGACTGACCTGAGAAGAGCGGTTGCTGCCCTCATCATCTTTGTAGCAATGCAACTTCTGATGCCGAATCAGCTCATAGAATCTCTGGAATACTAGCAAACACTTACTGCATTGGTAGTTCATACCTGGGGTTCTCTTGTAGCGATTGCTTCCCTCACCTTCCGAGTCTCCACTGTCCACAAGAGGCTGATTCTCAAAGATCTTCCGTGCCTTCTGTCTCGCATTCTGGAACCAGACCACTATCACTCGAGGACTTAGATTCAGCAATCGTGACATGTTGTCCAAGTCATCATCCTTTGGGTAGGCATTATTCTCAAAGAACTCTTGCAACACTTTGACCTGATAATCTGTGAAGCGTGTTCTGCCTGAGCGTTTTGTCCCTGAACCACTGCAACTTCGTGTTGGGGAGGTAGCAGATGGCATTGAATGCTGAGCTGGGGAAATTGGTGACAGTATAGGGGAGGCCAGCTCGGAGTAGGTTGAGGTAGGCGTAGTCGGTGAGGATGTAGTGGTCAGCGGGCCACAAAAACCTGTTTGTGGTTCAGATGTGAAGACACTATTAACTGAACTAACACTTGCCATACTTTCTCTGTCTCTTTGAATGGGGGATTTCTGTTGAGAATTTTCTGACTTAATGTGAGTTTTAAATTCCGCAGGTGGAGTCTTTGGGTCTTTTGGTGTGTCTAAATCAGCTGGAGGTGGTGTAGGTGACTTTGGCCGTGGTTGTTCAGGCTCGGAAAAAACTTTCTCAGGGACCAATTCTTGCTTTACATTAATTTTTTTCATCTCAGGTTTTGGAGAAGAATCACGTTCAGAAGGTGGTGCAGGTGGTGAAGAAAGAGTTGCAGATGATGCTATTGAAGTATCAGTTGGTGTTGCTGTGGGTACACGTACCAGGGAAGGTTGTGTCAGAGGTGCTGATGGCAGTGAAATGACTGGTATTGGAGTTGACACTGAAGTTGTCAAAGATAAAGAGCCATCACTAAAATAGCTGCTGCCTCCTCTGCTCCTCTTCCTGTTGCTGTAACCACCACCGCCTGAAACAGGAGCTGGCGAGGATTGCTTTGCCTCTGTAGCCGATGCTGAAGCTGATGCAGCAGCGGCAGCTGCAGCAGCTGCTGCACAAGCCGCTGCTGCCTGCTCAGCTGCCAGAGCAGCTGCCTGAGCTGCTGCCACCTCTTGCTTTGCTTTCAACTGAGCAGATTTCTCCACATCTTGGAGTGTGGTGGTAGGAGGGTTGTTGAAGTTGTAGGGTGAATCTTTGTTTCTCTGTCGCTCTTTGAACAAAGTGTTTCGGAACCAGTGCTTGATGACCTTATGGGGCAGCCCAGATTTCTGTGACATTTCTGCAATCTGTTCCTCAGTAGGAGAGTTATTAATGTCAAAGTAGGCCCGCAGGATTTTCAATTGGTCATCAGTTATGCGTGTGCGAGCACGTTTTGGTGACTTCTGCATGTAGTTGGGATCCACATACTGGACAGCCTGCATGGCAGGCATAGTGGCCTGGCTAGGAGTTATTCCTTGCATCATGCCACCAAAATTTTGCATCCCAGGCAGCGGCTGCATGGACTGCATCATGGACAATGGGAATGCACTTGACAGTAGCATCTGTGGTGGAGGAGGAGGAGGCATGGACTGAGATGCAGACATCTGACCCTGTTGTGTTTGTTGGAGATACTGCACTGCAGCAAGTTGGGCTGCGATATGCTGTTCCTCAGTCATCTGAGTGTGAGTCGATCCGTCAGTATTAGGTTCCTCTTTGACTTCCCCATTTTGCTCAATTTGCTTCTCACTCTGCTTATCATCTTTGTCTTGCTTATCGTTTTCTGTTTTATCCTCATCTTCGAAATTGTTCTCCAACAACTCATCTTTAAATTTCTTTGAATACATCTCAATTTCTTTGATGGTCAAAACCTTCTTGTGAAGCTCTTCCAGATGAGCTTTGTAGACAAAGATACTGGAAAACTCCTTGGAGCATTCACTGCAGTAAAATTTGTCTTCCTGGGCAATGCTAGCTGGTAGACCCTGAGCAAATTCATTAAACTGTTGCACAAGGTCAAAGCCATAACTTTCAAGAAGCTTTCGTTGCACTTGAGATGTGCGAATCCGTCTTGGATGTTGATTAATGGAAGCCTCAGGAATACCTGGTTTGGGGGTGGCCGGCGGTGTTGCTGGAGTAGTTGCACTTTCTGAGGATGGTGCACTCCTACATTGCGTCTGCTGATGCTGTGCAAGTGCCTCCTGGCTCACAAAGACCGAGGAGCATTTATTACAGCTGTAAACACATGGCTGAGGAAGCATCTGCCCAGGTTGTAGCATCATACCTGGAGGGAATCCTGCCAATGTTGCAAGTGCCAGCTCGGCCTGCAATTGCTGAGCAGCCTCAGACTGAATCTGGGTCACACCTTGCTGCTGCAGAAAATGTTGAAGCTGAGCCTGCTGTAGTTGCTGTAACTGGTGGAGTTGTATTTGCTGCATCTGAAGCTGCATCTGCTGGGCTGCTTGAGCTTGTTGGAGCTGTTGTGCATGAATTTCTTGTACCTGCTGGGGAGTTGAGTATCCTGGAGCCTTCGGGGAAGTCAGTTCACCATTTTCCACAGAGCTGTTCTGTTCAAGAGTAGCCTCTTCCCGCTCCGTACTAGTGCCTTGGAGCTCTTGTTTGGCTGCCCTGCTCTGATGCAGTACAGAACGCATGTGTGTTTCTAATGTGGTTGCTTGACTGTAGGCAACTTTACACAAGTTACAGCGATAAGGTTTCCCATCACCAGTTTCAACTGAAGCCTCGGTTTCGGTGGGTTCATTCAAACTCTGCTTTAATTTATGAAGGTGAGAGACAGAGTTGTAATGCACCAACAAGATGTTCTTCTGAGTAAAGGATTCTTTGCATACATCACACTTATATGGGCGGTTGGGGTCCCAGTATCTCTGGAGTTGGAAGGCAGTCAAGCTGCGGTCACCTTTACGATGCATCATTGTTTTATTGTGGCTGCTCAGCTCACTCTGACGCATGAAGCCCAACCGACATCTATGGCATTTGTACTTTCGGACAGGATCAGTGTAAGAACCATCGTCAATGTACTTGCCCCCATCTTGACTCCCATCCTCGGAGAGACTATCAACTTCCTGGCTATTGGGAGTCTCTACCTGTCGACCAGCATCATCTTTACCGGCATCAGAACTATCAATGGTTCCATCTACAGATTCAGCCTCCATCTGACTCTCATCTTGTGATGGATCTAAGCGATCAACCTGCTCATTTTCATTAGGAACTTCATCGAAGCTAGGGGAATCCTCAACAGGTTTGGATGGTGGCACCATGTCTCCATTTGATACTGAGTTATAGTACTGAAGCAACTCGGCATTGCTCAGGTCCTGATGGGATGTCTCAATGTGATTTTGTAGGGCAGGGACTGAGCGGAACATGCGCTGGCACACAGGACACTTAGTAGCAGCACGCAACAGGTGATACTGCATGTGATTGTTCAGCTTTTCTTCGGTTTTGAAAGCAAGGCTACATTGAGTGCAGCGGAACTTGTACATGTGGCGTTCAGAACTGGCAGACTGCTGACGTTTGGCATGGATCTCCTTGAAGTGCATCTGAAGTGCAGAGGCAGTTTTGAAATACTGGTTACAACCTTTCTTCCAGCAGAGAAAACCTGGTCCGCCTGGGGTGTCCTGCTCAGTGAGGGGACAGCTTTGGTCCTGATGGGCATAGAGTTGATCGATGTTGGCAAATACAAGATGACACTTCTGGCAACGGTATAAATCTGTACTCTCGGTGTCGCTTGAGGGTCCTGGAGATTCTCGTGCTGGTTTTTCCTGCAATTCCATCTTCATTGGTTCTATGGAGGGTGGTGCTGGTGACTCAGCAGGGGGAGGTTTCAGGCCAGCCTGTGCCAATGCTTCCATGGCAGGATTGGTACCCTGGATGAATGGCGGTGTGGTAGCTGGAGGGGTGGCAGTGGTCGGCATCACCCATTCACTGGTCAACATCAATCGTTGCATGCACTCCCGGGAGACACTGTGAGCGTCCATCAGGTGGACCTCCAGATTAATCTTGTTGGTGCAGACTTCCTGACACAGGGGGCAACGCAAAATTGGCTGAGGTTTGATACTGTGCTGGGACACCACATGGGCTGATATACGCTGCTGATCAATGCTGCTGTATTTACAATACGGGCAGGAATATATCTGAGTAGTGTTTGGGTTACTGCGTGATTCTGTTCTGGGTCTCCCTGATGAAGAACTCTCCTGAGGTAATTTGGGACGTTTGGCTTCGGGCTCTCCAGTTTCTTTATCTTGGTCCCTTGGTGTAGAGGCAGTAGAAGTTGGTGATGGTCTGTCTTTCCTTGAAAGATCCAAAGCACCATCAGCTGTCAACCCTTCCTTTGGTGAAGCTTTGGTCAACTTTTCCTCATTCTTAATGTGCTGCAAAGATTGGACATGTTGTATCAAGTTGAGTTTGGCTTTGGTGGAGTAGTTGCACAGGGGGCAGTGGAAGGTACGAGACTCAGGGTTGATGGTGATGTTGATTTTCTGCAGGTGCCGGAAGAGCTTCATGCTTGTTTCATGGCGGTAGTTACTACTGTGGGTGTGGGTGTGAAGCTTGTCCGTGCTATAAGTGTAGTAATCACAGGCATTGCAACGAAGCTGAATTGGGTTGCCAACATTCATGTACTTCAGCCGCCACTCATTTTGCTTGCCTCCTTCTCTAATGTGGTTGAATAGCTGCAGTTTCTGCTGGTGTTTATCGGTCTTCATATGGAGCTGGAAATTGGCTTTCACCTGGGTAGTGTAGTTGCAGAGAGCACACTGCTGCACGTCCCCAATTATGATGCGCCAAAGCTCCTCATTTGGCTCGCTACGATCCCGTGAGATGTGTTGTTGCAGCGTGCCCAGACAATCAGTGCTGAACTTGTTGCAGACGGAGCATTGGTACAACCTCAGGGGTTCGTTGTTCTGGAGGTCATCTGGTGAGACACTAGCTTGTTCTTCCTGCGTCCGTGGCTGGTCAGGGGTGGGAGCCACACCAAGAGCCATGCTGCCCATCATAGCGGCATAAGCCGCTGGGTCATAATTATAGTTCATCATGCTCTGCATGTCCATACCCTCCGCTCCTTGGGCCATGATTGGGAGCATATTCTGGGCCATGTACATGTACATAGACTCCTCGGGTTGGAAGCCAGTCAGGTTTGTCTGCATTTCTCTCTGCATTTGACTGACGTTCTGCTGGATGGCCATCATGTTGTGGATGTGCTTCTCGCTTGTCATATGGATGCGAAGATTGCGTGCCACGTTGGTCTCGTAATCACACACATCGCATCGCCATGTATGCTTAGGCTTAGCTTTGGTTGAAGATGTGGATGATAGTGTTGGAGGCATCTCACCTCCTACTTTGCTGGTATGCATAAATAACTGGTCACTTCCATTTTGCAGCTCTTGAACATTGTTTAGATGCTTATCCGACTGCATGTGAATACTTAAGTTACCCTTGGTTGTAGTGGAATAATTGCAGATATCACAGCGGTATGGCTTGTACCCGCACGTATATGTTTCACCACGAGACAGCCGTGGATGGGTCTGATTGGTCTCGCAATAGGGACATTTGGACTCGCTCTCTGGATGCTTTTCTTTCATATGTGCTTCTAGTGTCTGCTGGTATTTGTAGTGCCAGTTGCATTTGGGGCATTTCAGTGTCTTGCAGGAGTTTCGAGAGTGCATCATAGTCATGTGCCCACCTAGAGAGCGGGATGAGCCCAGGACCATGTCACACTTTGGACACTCCACACTACTGGAGATTTTCCCATTGGAAGCACAGCAATCAGAGGGGGTGCAGGTGTCTCGACTGCTTGGTCGTGGGGAGGAGCTCTCTTCAGCTAAGCTCCCAGGGTAAGGAGATTCAGCCTCTTGTTGACGGGGTGTCTGACAGTTCGAACTGGTGCTTGGACTTGGGCTTTGTCTTACATCTGCCTTCCTTGGCTCCAGGTATTTTGTTGAAAAACTAGGACTTGAAGTTTCCAGTGCAGTTTCAGCCAACGGTTTGCAACAGTCTTTTTTCGGTGCCAATGACCCTTCGGCAGTTTCTGCGGAATGACTATTCTCTGGAGAAGAACAGTCCTTGTTGAGTATTTCAGATTGTTCAGCACTTGGCATATCTACACATTTCTTAGTATTGTTTTCATTGTCGAGGGAAACACTATTGTCCTTATTTGGTCCTGAAGAATCAGTCTCACTTTTGGCGATTGCAAGGAGACCAGGTGGTGCTTGTTTTTCCGGTACATTCAGTCCTTCACTACCAGAGCCAGAGACAGTGTCCACGTCTGCAGCCACAACACTATCCTGATGTGATGTGCGAGATGAGGTAGCTGTGACAGTGGTAGTGAGGGGAGAGCTAGTACTGATGGTGACGTTTACGGGATACACATAGCTAACTGACGACGTGGCTGATGGAAACACAGTTTGCAAATATTCACTGGAAGGTGGTGTGTGTTTGAAATTTGGTAGATGGCTGGGCTGTGATTTGATGGCAGTGGCTTCAAGGAAGGACAACAGGGGGCTCTTTTCCTTTCCAAGACCCTGTACAATAGCTGACTGGCCTTTGCGGGCCATGATTTTTCTCTCCTCTTCATTGAGAGTCAATTTGTGGTCATTGCTTGCATGGGCAACAAAGGACTTGGCAAATCCAAAGGACAGTTTGCACAGGAAACACATGAGGATGGGCTTACCATGGCCCTCCACAGCATTCTCGCTGACAGAATGATGCTCTTCCTCCTGTGGCTTAGTCTCTGTGCTTTCTTGGTCATTTTCCTTGCCTGTTCTTACATCATACACGCGGAAGCTGTGCACTATAGGAGTGGCAAGCTGGCCCATGCTGAACTGTGCCAGGTTGCCAATGGTCATGTAGGCGGGTACATGTAGGGAGTTAACAATCCCTGGGTAGGCAGACATATTGCCGGTGTCCTTTAATGGCTGCCGGTCAACACTTGGTGGGTTCGTTGATTGGTGTTGGGCACTTTCATTATCCGACAGCTCCGATCCATCCACGAGATAAGCAGACCCGTCGGGCCTATAAACAATCTCACCCTCAAAATTCTCCATGTCACTGAGTTCACTTTCATCTCCGCTCATGGATACGGCCCCATCACTCTCACCAGCTGTGTCGCACTCTTCAACACTCTCATTCTGCTGCTGAGAGGAAAATTTGGAGGCTTTGCATCGGTGTTCCATGTACGTTTGTAAACTGGTGAATTGTCCATGGCATTCTGAACAAGCTACATCCTCCGGTGGTCCATTTTCCTTTCGTGGTCCGTTTTCGTGTTGATGCTGTGATCCGCCGTCTTCAGATTTCGAATCACCGTTGATTTTAATGTCTTCATCATCTTCTGTGTCTTCCAGGTCTGCTCCAGCAGTCTTAAGATCACTACACAGTGCCTTGTCCATCCCAAATGGCTGGATGTTGTCCTTAATCATGTTGTTGGCTACCTTCTCGCTCATCATCTGTCTATCTTGCAGTGGCTGGTCGGGATACTCCCCAATGTCACCCATTGCCTTCTGCTCAACAGCCGTCATGATGCATCAGGGTTGGATGCGTACAGGGATCAGAGATATCCTTACTCCTTGTTTCTCTCCATCATCTGTACAGACAGAAAAGAGAAAAGAGAGAAGAACATTTAGTTGTCATGAAGCTTTATACTTCACCTTGAAAAGTAACATGATGATACTCTTAAGATACGCCACTTCATTATTCGCAACATCAATTTGCCAACTGAAAACCACTTGCACCGAACATGTTAGTCTGATAGAAGAAAGTTTTCAAACAGTCTTGTGTACGAGGTTGATGATTGGAAAGGCATTACATTTGCTTATTAGCCATGAACAAGTAGCAAGGCAACATATGTTTAATCGACCGGGTTTACTGGGGGTAACCCAGTCCGACATGAGCCGGCCAAAACTGGCAGTCAGTTGGGATTTGCGAGCACCTGCACTTGTAAAAAATTGACAAAAAAAATTGACAAAGAGCTTGTTAAAACAATAAATGAACAAATATTTTTTTTGAAGGTAGAACGGCTGATATTAGATAGATTTTAAAGACAAAATGTAAGCTTATATTTCTCACAGGAGCTCCCAAATCATGTGTGTAAAGAGGCAACCAAAACAATTACAATAAAATCAAGGACGTTTTTCATCACGTCCTCGAGACAGCTCACATGTTACGAAAATCTGAATTAAAGAAAATGCTGTTTGGACATTCAGAGGATGATCAAATATTTGACTATTCAGTATATTCGGCACACCCCTAGGTACTTCAAATGCACAGTGGTGGATTACTGGCAATGCTAAACTGCTTTAAGGACAGACATTTAATTTTATAGATACATAAATTACTGAAATCCATGGAGGCCTTGTGACATGCAGAACATATTCAACTGGGTCTGAGGTTGCAAAATTCCATACAGTCCATTCAGTGTCAAACATGTAGGTGTCATTTGACATTTGTTTCCTTCAAAATCACGTACAAAACTGCATCACACCTTTCCCCAATTTGAGAACATGCAATAAGCGCAGAAAAAAAATGCTATGTGCATTTGGAATTCAAATCACATTGAAGTTAATCTACATTGTATTTCCATAAAACGTGTCTCTGCTGTTTGAAGTATCAGCAGAGTGGCGCTGCTTTTTTTCTTTTCCTTTTTTTTCCACAGGAAAAATTCAGTCACTGGATAAAATGTGAGTGCTTTGGGTTGATAAGGATTTGATGAGTAAGCTTCACCACCTATGCAGGATTAAATATGCTAGTTTTGCACACGACAATCCTGCTCTTTTAATTGAATTCATTTTTTTTTCACATTTAATGAAGCACACGTTTGAGTCTAAACATCAGTTTCCTTTCAAGATGATTTTCATCTAAAGTAATTCCCATACTAAAGACACATGCTCCGTTAAACAATTTATCCTTTGCTTGAACAAAAATGAAAGTCTGAAAATCACTTTCTCATCTCACATGTACGTCATCTGTCCTAAACTTTTAACATCATAAAATTCAATTTGGAGATTGCCTTATTAATTTTTGTTTTAAGAGGACTATAAATAAACATGTTTTTATGACTGGGCACTACAGCACAGAATAGTTAATTCCTGAGACAGTCCCGGTAATTGGTTTGAATCGCAATTCATCGTAAGTTTCAGAGCTCTGCACACACGTATTACCCTTTTAAATCACCGCAAAGCATGGCAGGTCAAAAACCGATTCCAGGCCTGTGAATAAACTGGGTCGCATGATGGAAGTCGCTTGGCAATTAGAACAGACTTGCAACTGCATGCCAAAGCAAAAAGCAAAAGAGTAAAAAAAGCTGGGGGGAAAAAAACCCTTAACTGCGTCTCCAAACTTATTAATAATCATCTGACCTGGAATCTTGCTAGGGTTCACTCCATTTGGTACTAATGAGACCAAATTGATTCATTTAACAGATAAATTACAGGTAAGCTTTACGCGGACGGTGCCCTCGATGGAATGAAGATGAGAGTCATTTGGAGAGAAGGAACGATCAGAAAAATGGCTCTGTCACATCATGGGAAAAGACAGAAGAAAATGGGGAAAGAGGAATAAGAGGGGAGCTATGTTAATTCGGCCAAAATTACCAGGCGCACGTTGAATTGCTAGATGATTAACTAGATGACTGATCGAAGTAGGCAAATGTAATCGGTATCTGTCATATTCAGTGACAAACTTCTCAAGAAACAGGATATAATTTATATAACCTTAAGACACAAGAAACACCCCAGATAAGGTCAACCAAAAGTAACTTCTGCAAGGGAATGACTACCAGTGATGGCATGAGTACCAGGGAAACAGGTAAGTACATTGTACATGTACACCTGTGAATGGGCAGGGGAAAAAAGCATGCGGCCTTCATCGGTCTGCAGTGATGCATCTCAAACCAAATGATTGCGATTAAAACAGGCTCCCCCTTAACCTTTTTCTCCCCTTGAAGTCATGGTAGCCAAGGCGACGCACACATGTTGGGAATAGGCAACAGGCAATTATCTCCGACAAAAATCAATGCAAAGTCACTTGTGAGACCTGCTGTACAGGCACACCTGTAGCCCTCTAGTGCTGATCAGGACAGACAGCCCTGAAACCCAGGCAGACCCATGACAAGATAATCCACATAACCTAAACGATGTACACACCTCCTGGAAGGAACAAACTACCTCTTGTCCTTTCTCCAAGTTTGGACATGCATCACCTGACGGCTTCTCTTTAAAATATCGCAGAACTCAAACATTTTGTTATAGAGTCGTTTGGATACATGTAGCTGTTATTTTTAAGACCAAAAATTCAACTGATTCAGATTGTCCAGTTGGAATATAAATCTTCATGTAATTAACAACATACGTGTACGTGTACATGTACATGAGGATCCCTTTTTGAATGGACATGGAAATCCACTTAAAATATTTTGACAGAAATCCTAAGAACAGTACCAGTAAATCCAGTAATGATATGCCACATATGCAGAACTGCATTCACATGTGTTTGTACTTTCTGGTGTCCAATTTCTTTTTAGGTCAACAGAGCTCTGCCTTTTATCGAAAAAACAAAAAATCCCCAAAGAACAGTATAAATCACCCTACAAGTTTCCTTTCCTTTTGATTCTTTCTTAAAGACTAGAGTGATATGTCAGTATCACACAAAGCCATCAACCCTGATTTTTGGACAGGAATTTAAGACATTTCTTCTCTCACATTAATCCTTCATGGGTCCATATCCCCAGGAGTAGCATTACTCAGAAACAGGTGCGGGCTTTTAAATGATGAGTTATTGAATGCAATAAGGAGGGTCATATAGCAGACAGCTAAAGACAACTGGAAAGAAAGTGGGTTTCAGTAAACAAGTTTGTTCCTTGCTCTATGTATGGACATACTGACAAACATTTGACACTGAGTTTTTGATTGTTGTGCGACACCTGCAAATGATGGAACAAGTTCATACAGAAAAATAAAATAGAGGACATAGGACATGCAAGGGTGTGTCAACATCCGACATTAATTCAACATAAATAATATGGACAAGTGCACAAAGAAATTGATGTACAATGTATGTCCTCTAAAAAATACACGCTCAGAAATACAGCTACTGTAAACTGCCTCACAAAAGGCGCTGCACATGTATGTGAAAATGAACGAATATCACAATTTGGACTAATGACAACTCGTCCTGCAGAGGACAAAAGTAGATCCTTCATGGCCTTTGTTTAAACTGATTTGATAAAGTAATGAGTGACAGACTTGGGCTAGCCTGGTCAGACAAGGAGCCGCCTTTGCCTAATACACGTGATTTACGGTCATTTCAATAAAACTTCATTCCAGGTGAAATGAACCCATGGCATACCTCTAGCTCTAGGGCGCCATTAAATCTCTGACAAATTTCCTTGTTCTCCAGATCTGGGCGGGATCCCCACCAATTCTGTAATCATTACTATGTCTGTGAGCAATAACATGTCTGTAAAAAAAAGGCCAACAAAGTCCAAAAGGTTCTTGTTTATATTAAACAGCTCTCTACTTATCTGGATGTTTATAGACGCTATGTTGTTGTGACCTTGGAGTTAAGTATGAGGCTACTTTCAATTAAAGGCACAAAGGCTATTTGGGGTTTGAGAGAATCGCAAACAAAATTCCAACAAAAGGGGAAAATCAGTTATGTATGTTTTGTCAAATTATAGTGTATCGTACGAGTTGAAACAAAGCTGTGGACCATTTTGCTGTGTAATTGCAATTCATAGGCTAATGCATCTATAGGGATTTTGGAACAGCGGTGCCACCCACATTTGGGCCCCTACAAACAAACAAGCTGCAGTAAGTTAAAACACCCACTGAAAAACATCTTGAAAGTAAAGATAAAGATCTATTACTGAGTCAGCAACAAATGAGCCAGGAATTTGAAACAGGGTGTCTGGCTTATGTTGCAGCATTTTGCAGGCAGGCTCGGCTCATCAATTACACCCACAGCTTCTTCACAGACACAACAAGTTCTTAATGTATGTCTGGCTCTCTGACCGAGCTAATAATATGAGAACCACATGTGCAAATGATCAGGGCCAATGGTGCATTCATAGCAGGCCTCACCCAGCAGATTTTAAAGTGGGAGCAGATACTTTGGGATGTGTGCCAGCTAATCATATTACTCGGCCCCATTCCACAACATAGTAAAATTTCATCAAAAAGGTCCTTCAGATGAAACTAATAATCATCACTGTGGGCCTTTTACAAATGGTAAAGAAATAATGATAGAAAGCCTTGCATAAGTATGAACAAGTAATTTTCCAGAATAACTTTTAACCTTACTCAGGAATAAGTGCTAGTACCCCACCTCGATCATGTGAGCAAACATGTCTAATCCTGCTTGCTTTCTATTTCAACCAGTACTCAGCACTACATGTTGTCCCATTAAAATCAGACCCATAAACACCTTTCTTTGTTCTCAATCCTTTCTGCCATTCGATTTTTACTGGAATTGGAAACTGAACATGACAATAAAGTTTCCACAAGTCTGAAGCCACAAATAGGCCCATCGGCCTTGAAAACCAGATTATACAAATACATGTACATTATCTTTATTACACAAATCATACAT